GCAGCACAGTGGTGTAGTCGTTAGCGCATCTGCCTTGCAGCACTGGGGGTCCCTGGTTCGAATCCTGGACAGGTCACTATCAGCAAGGAGTTTGCATGTTCTCCCTGTACTTGCGTGGGTTTCCTCCAGGTACTCCGGTTTCCTCCCACACACCAAAGACATGCTGGAAGGTTGATTGGCTCCTGTCTAAGTTGGCCCTATGTGTAGATTGTAAGCTCCTTGAGGGACGGGACTGATGTGAATGTGCAACTACTTGTGGAGACACTTTTCTAGGTGTTTAGGTTCAGTGGAGTGTAGTACCCTCAATTCCCCACTAGATGTCTTTTTCCTCCACTACTTATATTAATGGTAGAGGGAGAGTGAGAGGCAGCAGAAAGTGAAGAGCTTTAAAGTGACACTAAACTCCGGAGTTAAATCTTATTAATACATTCAAGCACCTTAGCCATTCACAGAAATGTATCTTATTTGTGTATCACTCGGCTGTAGATCCTCAAATCATCTCTGAATTGGTGCTGACACTGTCCTTCCTCCTTCCTGTCCGCACCAATTCAGAGATGATTTGAGGATCTACAGCCGAGTGATAAGCTATATTTATGTTGAACAACATGAACAACTCAACCATCCTGGTCCTGACTGGGCCCCCCTCTGCCTTGGACCCCCTAGCAGCCACGTGGGTGACTATGACGGTAAATCCGCCACTGCTCATGGTTCTAAAACACATTGTAGATTCATGTTCCCTAGACACGCTGAAGAGAACTTCGTAAACATACCATTACAGCGCTGCCAACCTTGCAAGGTTACGTCAAAGTAAAGGGGAGGGGAAAAGGTGAGCAGTGCAAACCTTGCGCAGGCAGGAGAAAGTATTTCCTCTTCTTTTGTGATCAAACTTATAGCAATGTAACTTTGTAGAAAGTCACAAGACGAAAGGCTGCAGCCGGGGATGATCTGTCTCGGGGCTGGTGCACACCTAGGCGGCACCTCACCGCCTCATCATTGCAGCAAGTGCTGAGTGACTAAACCCAGGCAGATGGCATCCCCCGGGGAACTCCACACACCATCCAGCACTGAGACCCAGGGACAGAGAGGGGGAGGAGTGACAGAGTGAGAGGAGAGAGTGCCGGTGCATTTTTCCCACTCCCCCCAGTTAAAAACAAAAAAAGGCTGCAGCTGCTCTTCTTTCAGCTGCTGTGGGCCCCTGTAAATTATGGGACCCAGGGTAGTTGCCCTGCAGTAAACACGGCTCTGAGTGGGGCCCCCTCCAGCCTCGGGCCCTGGGGCAGCCGCACCTGCTGCACTGCTAGTATGTCTGCCCCTGGTCGAAGCTGTGCCCTAGATGGCAGGGCATCCTAGGTGGCTGCCTAGTTTGCCTAGTGGCAGCGCCGGCCCTGAGCATACAGTTTCCAGGGAGCAGTACAATTTGAGCTTTCTGTTGCAAAAAAAGAAGCTTTTAGTAGGGAACTTGAACTGAGAAGTTGGAACACTTGTTACTTGTCTGTACTGTAACAATACAGAGCAAAAGAGAAAGGTTGTAGTAGTCAGACCTTTCCATATGCAGTTCAGTAGTGACATCTAGTGATAGATTTAGGTAATGCAATAAGTTCAACTGTACACACTACAGTACAGTATGTTAAAGGGAAAAAGGTTTTTAATCTAATTCACATGCTAATGAAATCACTTACAATGGATGCGGCATCTTGATGTTTAAAAGTTTTGGTTTCCTGCAGAATCAGCTGGTCCCCTGAGCATTGACCATGACATCCTGTTTTAGGGGGGCTCCTTTCCCTTGCAGGGTCCTATGGAGTCCCTCTTGTGCGTGCTTGAAATCTGTGTACAGGCCTGTCCCTATAATGAGATGACCTGAGCTTTTTGCCTCAGGTGGCGCCTCATTTGGTCGTGGGGGGAGGCAGCAGCATGTTTGCAGCCCCTGGCCCCGTTTATTGATATAGAGCAGACAAGCGGCTCATGCTTTGTGAGACTGGCCACTCATATACTGTCTGATGTCCCGCCAGCTGAATCAGCTGTGAGGGACTTAAAACGGTTGACATACAGGTTGCAGCTGGCCACCCAGGGCATGAGCCATCTGGTCAGGGCTGGTGCTGCTGATTGGCAGCCACCTAGATCGTAGCCACGACCAGCGCTTTCCTTGCTGATACCAAGCACCGATACCAGCACTTTCAATTTGTAAACACCCCCGCACTGCCTTGGTGACACCCTGCACAGCCCTGGTGAGACCCCACACAGCAGGGCAGGAAAAGGGGGGGACGAGAGTGCCCCCCTGCGCCATAACTGGCGCCACATACCCTCGGCATTGGGAGGGTGCATTTCCAGCGGTCCCCCTGGAAAGGCACCTTTTCCTCCTCATCATGGGGACAAGAGCATCTTCCCCCACAACCCTGGGGAAGTGGTTGTGGGGGTCTGCAGGCAGGGGGGCTTATTTCCATTGGTATTTCCTCCCCCCCCCCCCTGTGAATGAGTAAGGGGTTCTTGTACCTCTACTCGTTTACTAAAGGGTTAACCAAAAAGTAAATAAACAGACCAGACATTTGAAGAATTCCTTTAATTAAACAAAAAGCACAGAAACAGTTTTTGACAATTAATT